AACAAAGCCAACAGCTGCAAGCTGTTATGCAGTGATTTATTGGATAAGCCCAAGTTTATACAGTTCGGTGGTGTTTACTCTTAAGCTCTAAGAAGGGTCACATGGTTGGCTGGGAGTTTATGAACTTAAGGCTTATACTGTGCAGTTTTCTACTGAAAAAATAATTAAGTGTCCTTACCTGATCTTTCCTCTGAAATTGTGCTCCTACACAGAAAAAGAAGAGAGGGAGAAGAGAGAGGATTTTTGTTCAGTTGGTAAGGCTGGGAAGGAAGTTGGGGGCTCTGCTGGAATGACATATGGTTCCCCAGGTGTAGGAGCAACCCACCGTGGCATTCTGATTCTGCCCTCCACATTTTAGATTTCAAAAAGTGTGTTTTGCGTTTCTGGTTGGTGCCAGAGATGCAGTAGAAGGGGAGCCACCACTTAGGAGACAAGCGCAATTCTGTTATGTATTTGTTGACCATGACCCTCCTATGTCACCAGCTGCCTGAAGGATTGCACACCGAGAGTGACAATCCAGAGGGTTTTTTTCTTTGGCTTTGTTCTCTCACCTCCATGACTGCTGTGTTTCACCTTGGATAAATGGAACAGCAGCAGTAATTTTCATAGCAATGTGCATATTAACTGTACTAAGTTTAAGCCCAATATAATTAATTTAATTTGACTTCATAATAAAAAGAGAAAATTAGAAATATCTCTAAGTTCTTCCCCACATCCTAGAGGTAACTACTGTAGATATTATATAAATTTCTAAACCTCTGATCTCTAGGCTTAAAAACATTTGGACTAACACCTGAAAACTTCACTTTGTTTCACCTACATCTCTATGTCAGCAAACATTAAGATTTAAGATTTATGAAAATCTTCTGAATCCTCCACAGTTACTCATTGTTGTTGGTTACCAAGCTTTGGTGAGGGAGACACCAGGTTTGCATGGGGGAATTTGGGTGTTGGAGGCGAGCCCTGTGTTTTTATCATTATTTGGGTGCTGATTAACCATGTAACTGGCCACCGAGCCTCAGTTTCCCCATTTGTAACATAAGACCTGTAATACCTATTAAGAGAGGGAAAAGCAGTCTTGCCCATGCCAAATCACAGCCAATCAATGCCACTTGACTTTTTGCTTTCCCTTTGTCCCAAGGAGCTATGCCAACATGTGGAATTAATGTTTTTAAACACTTTTAAATCATGGAAGCCTAAGCTATAGAAAGCACCATTGTGGGGCCTAAGAAACCCACATTGACGGGGGACTGCAGTATATTGGAAGGGTTTGTGACCTTCCAGGCCTCAACACTAATATTGCCAGAACTTGTGTTATGATCTTTCTAGATAAATCTATGCAGAAAAAACTAGATTTTCCTTATTTTTTATTTTCATTTTTTACAAGCACTGGTATGAGATTTGATGGCTTTTTCTGGTTTGATTTCTTCAGCAGCAGTATTGGGAGTATGTGTTTGTTAGCTTTCCATCACTTTAACAAATAACCAAGTCATAAGAAGAAAAGGTTTATTTTGACTCATAATGTTAAAGCCTCTAGTCCCAGGTGGACCCATTATGTTTTTAGGCTTCTAGTAAGGGTGCCAATGGCAATGGAGGGGAGTGTGTATCAGAGCAGACTGACTGCTTACTGCATAGCCAGGGAGTGAAAAAGAAAGGGAGAGGAAGCAACCACAGTCCCACAAGCCCATACGAGGCCACACCCCCCAAAGACCTACCTTCCTCCCACTAGACCACACCTTTCTGTTTTTCCTGTACCAGGGATCGAACTCAGGACCTTGTGTTTGTAAGGCAGGTACGGCACCACTGAGCTAAATCTCTGTGGCCAGACCCCACCTCTTAAAGTCTCCACTACCTCCCAGTAGTGCTGCCCTGTTGGCTAAGCCCTTAACACATGGAGTATCTTGATGTCTCCCTCCTCTCTACACTGCTGTTTATTTCCATGAAACATTCAATACTGGTGGGCTTTGTTTTCTGCTGAAACTTCACGGCTTGTTTACCATGTATTTCCCTTGTAGCTCTTTTATAGCAACCTGGGATTTTCTCCAGACTTTGTTTTGCACACTCTAAGTGTTTCCACATCATTGTTCGTAAACTCACACAGTTCTTATGCTCTGTTATCGGGGGCCATTTTCACTTATGTAGTTTCCCTTGCTTGGTTTTATAAGTAGGTTGGTCACCTTTGTAATCAGTCATTAAAAAGCAGGAGCCATTTGTGCAAGGGCAATTTTTGTAATTTTGTTACCTAGTTTTAAAAAATCATACTGCACCTTGGGCAAATTGAAATGCAATTATCAGAAGACTGCTGTTTCCCTAGTATTGCACGCTACCTAATCAGTGGAAAGTCAGGTCTTCCTGCCAGCCTGGGGAAGCATTTGTGTGGCATTGGAGGTCTGCTGGTTCAGCAGCAGAGCCCAGGACAGGTGTCCTCAGAACAGCCAGATGAGCACATCTGACCTTCTGATGTCTCCCGCCCTTCCTCTGCACGGGACTTCTCTGGGGCGTGCACAGATGCTTGTTTCTAATTGATTCGTTGACCTGGAGAGGTGGTGGCCTGGGCTGGGCAGGCACTGTGGGTGTGTATCTGAGTGTGTGTGTGCATGGGTGCGTGTGTGTGCATACCATCGGGGCTATGTAGCGGCATTCCACCTACTCACTGGTGGACTTTTAGCAGCAATCCACACATTATGTTTAAACCAAACCAGGATAATGACCTTACGAGCACCAAGGCAAATTTCATCCTTTCTCACTGTCTTTTTTTTTCCCTTCTAAAAGTCTGCATTGATGGATTATGGTATCCACATGCAAAAAAGTGTCTTGAAGCCAAGTAACATTTGATTGCTTTTTTTTCATTCTTTTGTTTGCTACTGCTGCTTCCTCCTCCTCCTCCTCTTCCTCCTCTTGTTCTTCTTGTTCTTCTTCTTCTTCTTTCTTCTTCCTTCTTCTTCCTCTTCCTCCTCTTCTTCCTCTTCTCCTTTTTTCTTCTTTCATTTTACCTCTTCCTCTTTCCCTTCCACCACCTCCTCTTCTTTTTTATTTCCTCCTCTTGGCCACTCATGTTGCATGTTTACAAATAAAAATAGACATGTGTTACTGTACCTGGGCTACACTGAGTTGCGTGCTCATAGCTCTAGAACCAAGTGCTTTTCTGCACTTGATGGAACATGTGCCCTGGATGTGGCTGAGCTCTGTGTCTGTTTTTTTGTTTTGTTTTTGTTATACTGCAGGTGCAACCTAGGGGCTGACACATCTCACACATGCTAGGCAAGTGCTATACCACAGAGCTACACCCTAGCTCAGATTTTTCTTTTTATGGAACCCACTCAGAAGGCATTCTCCCTCTGTTGCTCCCCTAAACAAAGATATGAATGACCATCTGTAGCAGATGGCTGTTGCAGAGAAGCAGTACCAGGAGCTGGCTTCCCGCTTGGGGGACTATTTAGATTTTGATGTCAACAAAGAGGATATTGGTTTATGTCTTTGGGAGCAGGGACGAAAGGTGTTTTATACGCTAATACTTCCCCCATACTGTTCTTCCCAACTCTTTTTTCAGTTCCTTTCCTTCTGAGACATCTGCTGATAGTTAGTGGAAGGAACCCTCAGGTTGGGGCCCGTGCAGCTTGCCAGGTGGACAGTGTGTGCATTGCAGAACATTGCTCCTCTTTCTCGGCAGCCACAGCCCATCCATGGCACAGAGCTGGTGAGCAGAGCCCAGGTCGGTTTAGCCTTCATCTGCTCATTAGCTGCCACTGCACTGCAGTATACTAGTAGAGCTATATCTAGCGGGACCTCATAGGGAAGGCACCAGCCTCCCCCTCTAGCCACCCCACACCTCCTGGTGTTGTATCTCACAGGAGTTACTGAGCCGAGGCTCACAGAAGGGTAGACCCCAATAACAAGGAAGGGCAAGGGTAGGTTTCCTGGGGTACTGGAATGGCGAGGGATGTCTCCCCAGAGCACAGGGACAGAAGAAGTATAAAGAGCTGCTGTGGGCAGTGGGGTGCTCTGGAGAGCCAGCCTCCAGAAGTGTGGCCAGTGGGGGACCCCCCCAGCCCCTTGCCTTGTCATTCCCCACGTGGCCCTGTTGTCCACACACATTCCTCTGCCAGAAGCACTTTCTGACCTGGAAAACTCCCATCCCTCCCTCAGCTCTGGCTACCACTGCCCACCAGTGCTTCCCACCCTCTGTGCACAGCCTCTGGCTCACACCCCTCCCTGTGCTGCATGTCTTCTTCCTGGTGTGTGGTCCTCCCACCTCAGGTGGGGGCCACAGGTGCAGGCGTGTGAGTGTGAGTAGACTTGTCGGTGCGTCCGCTGGCTCCAAAGCCCTCGCTCTCCCCTGGCTCTCTTCCCTGCTCCAGCCCGCTTCCTGTGCAGGAAGCATTCGGAACATGCTGCACACCCTGCCTGGCCCACTTTCTGTAGTTCCCAGTCAGCATCCAAGCTCACACCCCAAGAGCATCCAAGAGCAGCCTCCTCCCTTACAGGGCCAGCTCTAGGGTGAGGCACAAGGTGCCCAGGGTGCAAAATTTAAGGTTGCTGTCCTGGGGGTGTGCACATACAGGGTCAGCCCCCAAGAGGAAGAGCCTCCTTAGACTTTGCACACGGGCCAGTCCCTTCACCTGCTGTCAGTCCTGGGTGCTGAGGTGGCACTGGAATCTGGCAGACCCAGGTGACCTTGGGAAAGTCACCTTTTCTCCCTGAACCCTAGTTTGCCTCATCCTGAGTAATGAGGATTAAATTAGGTGGTGTGTAAACTAGCACGTGGCCTAACACATCTTAAGTGCTGGATGAATGTTTATGGTTACTGTTACCAGTAGGTGCATACAAAAGTGTGTGCACACCGATCTCAAATGAGCTCCAACTTGCAGGTCCAGCCCTATAAGCACCAAGGTCCCCCTTGCCCTTCCTGTGACCGTGCGTGGTGCTGACTGTGAGGACTTGCCCGGGAGGTCAGGGCCTCTCACATTCTGAAGAGGATGTGTTTTGTGTCTCTGCTGCAGGAATTGCTTACTTAGGAGGTGTGTGCAGTGCTAAGAGGAAATGTGTGCTTGCCGAAGACAATGGTCTCAATTTGGCCTTTACCATCGCTCATGAGCTGGGCCACAAGTAAGTATCAGACGCCAACCCCCTTGTTCTGCTTCTTTAAATTCCTCTCTGAACACACATTTTTCACTTCAATTCTGAAAGTTCTATCACAGTGCTGCTCTGTGCTTTGACTGCTTCTGCTTTAGGGCCAAGGCCAGGAAGCCTGTCTGCTCAGCCTGCAGCGAGCCCAGGAGATTACTGTGCAGACTGGCTTTGAGTGTTGAAATGTTAATTTGAAGTTCGTGTTTATTCTTAAAGCCAACACAGTAAGGGGAAAAGGTTTTTCTGGGTGTCTTACTTTGTTGTCCTTGTTTTTCCCGGGTCAGCATGATATTTGATACATTCTGACTGCACCATTACAATTATGGGATTTATCTTTAGACTGTTGATTTTGTTTCCTTTTCAGCCAGTTTCAAATACAGTCAAACTTCTGCATATAGAATTCAGTGTTTTAGTTTTAAAGAATTAACAGCAACTGCATTTGCATATGCAAATTCTTCCTTTTTAGATAAAATGACTCCAGAACCTTAGAGCCCACAGATTATCTTAGGGAGAATTCCAGGCAGACTCCTTTTTTGTCAAAGGAGGAAACAGAGGGTCCAAGCGTTGAGTGGCTGGCCCAAAGATGCAATCACCTGCAGGAAGTCTCAGGCAGAAAGCCAGCCAACTCTCCAACTGTGGCCTGAAAGTTTACTCTTTCTCCTGTCGTGCATGTCTGTTTTATGTTTCTCTGAAGGAATACTGTGATATGACTGCATAATTTTTTAATTTAAAAAAATTAAATTGAGGCCAGAGCATGAAAAACAATGGGAAAATTTATATTGGATTATATAAAACATAATGAAGTCGAAATATCTAGTTTGGGCGGGGAACAGTATAAAGATTTTCTAATAACCTATACAAAAAGACGTCTGGAGCCATTGTGAGAGTAAAGCCAGTATACAAAAAAGGGCAGAAAAGCAATTGTTTTCCTCTAGAATTAACCACATCTGTGGCTTTACTTTTTGTTGCATTTTGTTTATCTGGTCCCATTTTAATTTTTTTCACTCCTATAGAGGGGTTTGTAGTTGGCTTTTTCAAACTTGTTGGGTATAGTGATTTGCATCCAGAGAGTGAAAATCCTGCTCTGTGGATGCTATGCCATGCTCCTAGAAAGGGACATCTTAGTGACCCTGGGGGCTAGCAAAGCGAGGTTAGTAGTTGTCTCTAAGTACACCATTATTTCATCATGACTTTACTTTTTTAATATTGCTGGAAATACCTTGTCCCTCCGATTTTAAAATTAAATGCCATCACATTTATATTAACATCTCTGAGCTGTTTAAATGACTTTGATAGGTGTCTTCTGACTATCCAAGGACCTAGCCAGCCCACCACAGTACCTAGGAATCAACTACTTGATGGTTTTAAGAATGCAGAGCTCTGAAAACATTTGCCAGCATCCAGGTTGTGATGGGTATTTCAATAGTAAATTTAAATAAGATGATTTGCACTACAGTCGCATGGATTGCAGTCTCCCCCAGCAGCATTCAGCACCATGACATACGCCGCAGTGCTGTTTGTACTCACAGGCACACATGTGCTGTGTAGCAGTCTCTCCTCCTTGGATATTAAGAAGACAGGGAGCCGTTTTCCCCTTGAGGACCTGTTGGATTGTTCTGGACCAAACCGTGGCTTGTTAGCACAGGAGGTCTGCGAAGATGAATGGTTAGATTCAGCTGTACTACGGTACCCTTTAGCTGTAGTCTGCTTAGAATTTCTTGGAGGAATCTTTATAGCTTGCCATTAGACTCTAATTACCTACAAAACAAACACTTTATTGTTAATCAAAGCCAATAAATCCTGCCAGCACTTGGGGCTCACCCTCGCTGGGTGGTTATGGCTTTTCCAGGGAAGTGAGATTGTCTCAGATTCCTCTCCAGCACTGGAAAAGCATATTCCCTCAGGATAAAGCCACACCTTCCCCATCCACAGGCCCTTCTGGTCACCCCAGCTCAGGGAGGTAGGCAAGATCCTGTGAACTGCTTGAAAAGGCCAAGGCCTTGACACTTAGCATAGCTAAGGACCAAGCTGCTTCACAAATACAAAACCCGAAAGCTGATCCATGTTTTGAAATAGAGAGGAGCAATTAAACTCCATGCTAAGAATGTCCCCAGGTGGCCGACCCACTGGTCCCTCACCATCAGTAATGATGGAACTCCTCCTGAAGGGGGGAGAGGTCCTCTGGCCCTGGCACTTGGAAGCATGGCTCTTCTGTCTGGCTCCCATGAGTGAGTGCTTGTTTGCCCTCAGATCTGAATGTCAGGAGGAAAATCCTCTTTCAGTGTGAGCTACTCATTCCATTTATCAAACACGGAATCCCATCAACTTATCCTGGTTCTCTTTCTGCCTTGGCTGTCAGAAAACACAAAGCTAAATTAAGGCTCATTTTCAGCAGCTAATTCACCTGCATCCTGAAATTACACTTTCTTCCCTCTTCTCTTTATAGTGTTTCTTTTTATGGATAGATTTATTTCAAAAAGTTAAAACATAAATAATTTGATAGTATAAACTGGCTCTGTTCCAAGTTACAATCAAATTCATTCTAACTATAAATGAAATTAAAAATTCCTGCCATGGCTATATCAATAATGTTGCTCTGGGCATGAACTAATAATGTACTAATGATGTTTAAGTCAAATCAGATCTATGATTTATTGAGAATCTACTGTGTGATAAGTGACATGTTAGATTTTGTCCATCCACCATAGTATTGAGTCAGTCCTATGAGGTAGGTATTACCTTTTATTTTTAGGTTAGGAAACTAGCTTTTTAAAAAAATTGTATAGCCTCTACATAGCATAGCATGATTTGTGATCACTTTTATGATAATACATGTGCCAAATAGGCTCAGATTATAACAGGTAACAAAGAAGACAGCTTCATGGATATCCAAAAACTAAAGTACCTTCTGTTTAAGGGAAACAGCACTATGGGATGGCTGCTCACTAGTGACCCAGAGAGAGTGAAGGCATCATCAGAAGGTGCTAGCGTATCATAGATGAGCTTGAGAGCATCCCGTAGTTCTGCCCTGACAGAGGAGGCAGCTGGAGAAGACCCAGGCCTGCTGCAGACAGGAGCTGGAGGGGCTGCAGGTCTCAGTGGATGGGGGCCGGGGACAGGGCTGTCTGTGCTGCTGCCCGGAGGACCAGCTGGTCTGAGTGTCAGCCAGGCTGAGAGCACTTGGAGGTTTCAACTGAGTGGCCAGGACCTGTTGACTGCTTGACTATGACAGACTGCCCTGGTCTGCAGCTCTGTGCTCCCTGTAGTTTCCCTGTGAATGGAAGGAAGGCAGCCGGCTCCCTGTCTTGTAGCGATCACATGAGACCCTTACCTCATGACAGGTGTGCTTTGCCTATGTCCTGCAGGGACTCTTGGAAAGTGTCAGTGCCTAAATATGGGAGATGGCTATGTGGGCCTCTTGGACTTCACATGCTGTTTCCAGAGTGGAATCCATGTAATAGGAGCAATTCCTTGAGAGGAGGAGCCCATCCGGACCAACATTCCTTGGGCTTTTCCCCCTCAAGAAACCAGAAAGGGTGTCTTGGGGAGGAGGTAGTGTCCACAGTGCTGATCAAAATTTGGCTTTAGAGAGAAATAGGGAAAGATAGAAGCAAGCACTGTTTCTCTCAAACAGGCCTGTGTATTCCAGGCTCCACCCGAGGCCGTCCCGATGAGGGGCAGAAGGTCAGGTCTGGTGACTGCTCACAAGGAAAAGCAAAGTCAGAGTCAAGGGTACCTTGCTAGATGGAGGAAGGAGTTGTAGTGACCTTTGTGTGGTCTTTAAATGATTGGGTATAGTACATCTGTTGGAATTTTAGAATATGTGTATATGATTATATTCTATAATTTGTAATACCACATATAATAGAATATATAGATAGAATGTATTTTATAGTTTGGAAGTTACGGTGTAAAAGAGAGAAAGCAGATAGCCCTGTGGAAGTGAGAAGACATTCTGTTTTGATGATAGTAGGGTCTGACGGGCCCCAGAAGGGCACGTGGTGGGTAAGAACTCACCAGTTGGAGGCCAGGAGAGCACAGAGCCAAGTCTCACCTGCTCCCTCTGAGCTGAAGTGAAGCCAGCACCCTGTGCACACAGCGCACTTCTCACTCAGGTAAGGACAGCATCTAAAGACAAGGCCTTCCAGGTGGAATGGCAGGGAATGGGGGGAGTCCACTTAATGCACAAGGAAAGAAAAGATGTATCTGAGCGTGTAGAAGCATATTTTCAGTCTGGAGAGAACATGTGTCTGCCGTGTTGAGCGTAGGAGGCTCTGTGGAATAAGCTGTACCACCTCAGGCCTGGAGGGTCATCTGCCTTGAGAGTCAGCAGATCCTGGGATCCCCACCCAGGGGCTCATGGCAGGTCCTCCAGACGGCACAGGTGCCACACCTGAGGCCAGCCTCCCCCATCTGTCCTTAGGTGGAGGCTCTCCCGGCTCTTCTTCCTGGCATCTTTCTTGGGTCAAAGAACTATTCTCTCTCCAGTCCGGAATTTGTCTCCTCTGGCCAGAAGGCTCAGCCTGTGACCTCTGAATAATACTCTCTCCACAGAGGATGGCCTCTTGGCTTAGATGACATCTGAGCAGTGGCCCACAAAAGGGCCATGTGGGACATTCAGATAGGTGGTGGCCATGCCTCACCTGGGTGGATCAGTCCACTGGCTCTGGGGAGAGGCTTAGAGACGCTCTCCAGGAGGTCACCTGCATCCCAGGTGACCACACAGTAGGCGTGGTGTCCAGGGCTCCATCATTGCCTCAGCCGCCACCTTCTCGCTTCTGTCTCTTGCTCCCACACCCCTATCCTCCCTGGCTCCTCTCTGTGTTGAGCCACAGTGGTGCTGAAAATTGTGCTGCCCTCCCAGCCCCTGCTGTCTCTTCTGAGAGCTCCTCTGGCCACTCATGTTCAGGAAAGGCTTAGTCTTATCATCTCGTCTCACACCTCCCTGGAGGCCTCAGTGCAGGTGCAGCACAGAGTGA